AAAGAAATGGTTGTCCAACACTTCTGGCATCATGATATGTTCAAGAATGTCGCGATAGAGAGTTGCATCCAGCTTGCCTTTAATTCTGTGTAGAGTTCCAAGTCTGTTAGCAGACATGCAACCTCACACAGAAATCGAAAATCGGCCACTTTTTTTGACATTCTGAAAATATAAGGGATTGGAACGCTGACCTGGAGGTCTCCAAACCCTTATACGCCCAGAATAATCAGACTGGATGCAGCTTTCATCGCTGAACAGAACATTACCCCATTCAGAAACTCCCCAACTAGAAAACTGATTACAAAAGTTCAGTCTCTCCTGAATATGAAGATTAGTCAAAGCAGGCTTACGAACTGCAAATTTGCTGTGGAAATTTTTCTCATGCAGTCTGTTTCTCACTGTTTGATCGGAAACCTGCAAAGAAACAAATACATTTGTTAAATTCTTAAATTATTTAAAAATTTTCGTAAATTTCTTCTCAATTATAATCTAATTTTCTTTTTACTTTCTTCTACGGAGTATAAACTGAATATTGTAATCATAAAAAATTGCCTGAGCACACTTTATTTCAAAGAAACCTTTTTAATTTCAACGGTGTTATTATTCGTTTCTGTTTCAATGAAAAATTTCGTAGATTCAGCGTTCCAAAAATTTTCGTAGAAGTTGAAATTATATATATATATATATATATATATATATATAATAACTGCTATAACATCTAGTTGTGCACCTCCCTTTCTTATTGCAGTCAGTCAAACATGTATATGTGTGTGGGGGGGATAATAAATTAAAACCACAGCACATAGCTAAATAATTCTTCCTGGGAGAGAGGCAAAAGCGGAAAGGAATCATACAGGAATGGAATGGCAGAATGTATTTTCAGGAATATAGATGATGGCACAGCAATGGTTTCTTGTTTCGACGCACATTCATGGAAGAATTGGCAAGAGATCCTATTATTCAAATCCTTTTTATTTTAGCAGAATAATAATTTTGTTCAAAATAGTATTGGAGTATAGTAATGACATTAAAACAGTAAACGTATTGAGTACCTATCGCACTATAGATATACTTTTCTGACAAAAGTATATCTGCATGATAATACAACTTTGGAACAACATTTATAATCGTCATGAAAAAAATAAAATTATAAGAAGTTTGACTCCCGTATGGCAAAAATTGATATTAAGTTTCAAAATTTGCAACTTTAGATGTTATTTTCAGTTTACCTTGAGAAATCGTTTAACTAGCTTAGAATAATTCCAGGAAATAATTTTAAGTGAAGTGCAACAAAAAATTTTCATAATTTAGCACGCCATACAAGGAAGTCATGCGATGCATACATCAGATTTTCTAATGCAGCAGTTTTTAATGTAAAATGGAGAGATTATTATAATGAGTGATAACAAATATTTTCGGAAACTGACAGCTGAGAGAAAGAGTCCTGCAATGCGTCAACAAAATAATCACTATCATAGCTAAAACATTATTAATTATTTCTAACTTAGAGTAAATTATTTAAAAGTTTAATTAAACAGTAATTAATATTCCAGATGAAATAATTGAAAATAAATAATTGCATATCTTTCAGTTAATGCAAAGTACTGTAATACAGTTTGCTTATTATAATGTAATGTATAGTTGTATAACGTACTGGTAATCCAAGATCTTCAACTATTTCTTTTGCATTTACCGTTGGCTTATGCTGAACAGCATTTACAATGCCTTCCTCCTCATACAGGTCCAGTTTTCTGTGTTGGCCACTCCCTTTCAGTGGTGCCTAGGCTCTGATATCTAAATTCAAATATCAAAACGATAATGTTTTTGTTTTTTAGATAACATAAAAATTATAAATGTATGATATTCTAAACATTCTAATCGAATATCGCACTCAAGATTTAAAGCATACTTGTAAAAAAACTTTTGGGAAGCGCATTAAATTATAAAATTGTGATTTCTTTTTACTTTGAACTTAACTTTTTAAAAATAATTAGAAATGGTCTGTTAATTGATACGAATAATCATTTTACATTTTAGCTTTAGCTGCGTACATAAAGTAAAAATGCAAAAACTGGCAAATTATGCACTTTTAAATAATAATAATATTAAAGTGTGTGAATAACTACACATTAATATTTGAAAAGAGTCAAAGCATAGTTTTTTAGTTTAAAAACTTCTTATATTTTTAAACATAACAATAAAGTGTTGCAGCTTTCCTATAAAAATTCGAACAGAATATTATCATACGTATTTTAAAATTTAAGATAATGTGACGAGATTTTGGAAAAGGAGGCAGAAAAATTTTTTGAAAATTTTAATTCATTCTATGTAAAATTTCAATTTTTTTAAAATGTTTTTCTACTCCACTAAGCCATATTAAACTTTGGGCAATTGACAGCATTTGAATCTTTTCAAATATTATCGTTATTAGTATTATTTAAGTTTTCATCTATTTATTAATTTGCTAGTGCTTGCACGAATTATTGAAATTGCTACGCCTGAAGTGGATGAGGCAAATCATAAATATTAAATTATATTTTTTGCTTACTAGGCAAAACAATTTTCGTGCATGTGTTGAAACGCATATATTAGGTGAAGTAAGCAGCTATTATGTTTATTTAATTAAAGCAGCACAAAAACATGTCAAATCTAGTGCTAAAGAATGTGTTAATATAAAAATACTTACTTGCTGCACAAACGATGAATTCTACTTTTAGAAATGCCAGTAATTTCGGCGATTTGCCTAAGAGATTTTCCACATTGGAAATGTCCAAGAACTATTCCAACATCCTGCTTGCTTAAAGACATTGTCAAAATGAACATCAAACCAAAGTTCTCAGTTTTAGACAACTCGATTTAAACAAAGTTAAATTAAAGTAGCAGACGATAAAGCGCCGAAGATAAAAATTTACTCTTACAAATATTTTTTTAAAACAAGAAAGAAAGAGAGAAATTAAAAAAATAGTTAAAAATTTGAGTAATATCATCTATAATTAAAAAAAATAGCTTTTCATATAGTATTAATAAATATTTATTACGCATCACTGAGGAAAACAATTTCATATAATTAATTCTCCATAAAATTTTACTTGAAATTTAAGGTTAAAAATAGCTGTGGCCGTTCACTGTAACAAAAATCCATAGATCACTTTTGGCGTTATTATCGCTCAAAAAAAAGGATGCCAAATTTCAAAACGCGAAAATATGTAAATTCGTGTATATCTTAGAAAATTTTGAATAAAAAAGTCTAATTTTTTGCAGGTATGCTTAGAAATACACCTACTTTAAAATGATGGTAAAAATTTTATAGGTTATAATTCAAAATTTTTTTCGAAAAATTTATAAAAATTATTTAAAAATATAAATTTAAAAAATAGAACACAAAAAATAGGTAAATTTTATTTGGAATGAACCTAAATTTCGAAATGTGAAAGGAAAAATCAAAAAAGTTTAATAAAAAAAGAGATATAAATAAATATTTGCCAAATTCAATTAACATTGAGGAGCTAATATTTTAAAAACTACTCGTACGATTTTTACAAAACTTGGTATTCTGGCATAATTTGAGTCGTAGAATCGAAATACGGAAAAAAAATTGGTATGTTTATTCAGAAAAAAGGCCAATTTTGTGTCAAAATACCTATGTTAAAATAGTGCTATATATAAATCTAATATATATCCTAAGTCGCGCTTTCGAGACGTGAAGAACGCAATTTGAATTTCGTGAATCGCCCCAGTAGAACGAGAGATATAGCACTGTCCCCGCCTTTTTTTTTTGGAGCAGTGTACATATTTATTGACTGAATTTAAGATGTTTAAGTTGTTTGAGTCAATCATATTAGCTAATGTTCGCTAAACGAATTCAAATTTATTGGAGACTGCTAGTGAGTTTTAATACTTTCACTGTTAAATAAGATACCAGTTTTCAGATCTAAGCATTTTGAGGTAACTTATAAATAATTCTTATTTAATATCTTAAATGGAATGGTACATCGCCACCACTGTTCTATACTTTTAATTAAATAGTACGGCACATCAAAGAAAACAGTAATTGTCATTTTTGTAATTGGAGGGTTGAGACAGCATGTCAAAAGACATCCTAGAGATGTTCAGTTGAGTTGAGTTGAGGTTGTGATGGCTCTATGCAAGGGGTGTTTTTATGCATGAATTTCTCATTTATCTGGTTTGCTCTTTGTTGATACGCCTTATCTTTTATAAAAATAACTGCCAGATTAGTTACTGCATCATAGATGGCGTTCTTATATATACACAGCATACAGTGTCATTAAGTAGAGCATACAATTTCGAGGACTTTTAATTCGAGCTGTCACAGTATCTTCTGCAGAGATGTACAAATTAGTATAATAGCTTAAATGAAAATCTAACTCATACCAGTACAGTGTGAGTACTAAAAGTGTTGTGTTTTAGAATATTATTGGACTCCTCCGTCTTCTTTCCAGATTTTCACATGCATTTAATTACAAAGAACAGTGCAATGAACCACTCGGCTGCTTTCTAGTTTGCATGGTGGTGATTTTATTCCAACCCATATATTATTGAATCCATCTTAAATGTGCTTCTCTGGCTTTGATGTTTTAAAGGAACACAGACTCGTGGCATACATACATTTCTTTCATAAGTAGTGTTTGCCATATGCAGAGTTGCCAATTCTCCCAATTTCCCCCCGCCAACCTGATTTGCGACATATTTCTCCAGACTTTGTTTTATTCTTAAAATTTCTCAGGATTTTTATGTAGCTTTGTTATTTGCACCCAAAATAGGGGTTTTTGGCATCTGAAAGCACTTGTTTTCTCTCTAGATACATTTAAAAGAAAATCAAAATCATTTCATTAGTAAGATATGGTTTCATTAGTAATATTTTCATATTGGAACAAAATATTTGGGAATATAAGCATTATTGTTTTTTTGTGAATGCAAACGATGTGCTTTACCTGTAATAATTTTTATAAATGCTAATATTTTGTTTTTTCCCCCTTAAGGCTGTATGCAGCAAAATTTATATGTGACAAAACTGTGCCAGATGGGACTGTTCTTGCACCATCTACAGAATTTGAAAAAAGTTGGAAAGTCATAAACAGTGGAACTAGAGTTTGGACCCATGCAACAAAGGTAGCTTTAAAATTTTTGATTTATAAATATCTTTCACTCTGTTCTGTTTTAAAGTGTTATTTTCAGAAAGATTATGAATAATATATAATCATTATTTCTTATCAGAAAAAGGTAACTATTCCATTAATGGGGCAGCAGTCATCACCAGGTGTAATGTTTTTAAGTACAGTCAGTATTAAGCAGTGCATTCAAGTTGCATTGTTGCTCGAAAATATGTTACAGTACAAAGTCTGAGATCCAGACTTTGAGATTTCGGCAGTTCCAAATTTGAGATTTTTCTGGATATTAGATCAGCAGTTTTAATCTGCAGGGTTTTCCAAATTAAACTTCCCCAACTCAGAGGCCTGTGCAGAGTGTTGTATGGGTCATAATGTGATGAAGCTCGAGATTTATTACACACAAAAAAATTAGTGCAAGAAATTGCCAATAGGTAGCGCTGTAACACTAGTAATGTGCATATTGCAGCAACGTGATTTGCAAAAAAAAAAAAAAAAGCTTCTGCGCAACATATCCAAAAGACGAGCCCTACAAAAGTGGAAGATAGGCCTTGCACAGGCAGTTGTTTCCAGCTCGCTGATGCACAGTGGCGACTTTGAAAGACAAAGCTCTGTTAGTGAAACTTTTCTACCAGAATGACGAGAACTCCTGTGATGCGATAAGAGCATTCCGTCGGCTGAAGATCTTACGCCGAGAACCAATGACACCACGTGCTCTACGAGACATGATGAAGAAGTTCAAAAGAACGGGACAGCTGGGAATTTTACCAGGTAGAGGATGACAGGTTGTGGAATCTGCATGTGTAGAAGACGCTGCTTTGGTGGTCGTGGACCCCACTAGCCAATCACCACATGGTGTTGTCAGTGTGCCAACTGTTTCTCGTGCTGTTGATATGCCCTATACGACCGTCTGGCGTGTGATGTGTCGAATCCTCGGTTATTTTCCTTACAAAACCCATAGTCATCATCAGTTGTCCGACGGGGATCCTGTAGTTCGGGAAACATTTGCGTTGCAGTTACTTGCTAGAATGGAAGTCGAGGCTGCTTGGCCGTGGAACATCCTTAGGACAGATGAGGCCCATTTTCACCTGAATGGTCAAGTGAATATGCACAACTGCCGCATTTGGGCAAGTGAAAACCCGCGCGCGATCCATCAAGTGCCCTTGAACCCTCCAAAGCTCCCTGGTGCACTTTCACTGCAACATTCGTCATTGGGCCTTATTTTTTTGAAGAGGTGACTCCAACAGGGTTCAAAACCTGCTCTGTCACAGGAAAACGGTATCAGGACATGTTGACAATGTTTGTGATACCTGAACTGCACGGCCACGATATTTATGCAGGATGGTGCACCTTCCCATATTCTTCGTGGCGTTCAACAGGTGTTACGGGCAACTTTTACCGATGCACGTGTGATCAGCTGCTGTTTCCCTACAGCTTGGCCTCCCCGCTCGCCTGATCTCACGTCTTGCGACTTTTGGTTATGGGGATTCTTGAGGGATCGGGTCTTCCGAGAACACCCAGCAACCTTGGCACATCTGAAAGATGCAATTATTCGACATGTTCGTGGAATTAATGTGGACTTACTGCGTTTCGCTGTGGAACACACTTCTTTGCGAATGAAAAGAGTTGTGGAGAACCACGGCATACATATAGAACATCTGTAGAATGTCTTGTTGATCTGCAGTGCCACCTATCGGCAACTTCTTGTACTAATTTTTTGTGTTTAATAAATCTTGAGAGCATGATCTGAAGTGTCTGTTTTTTAAAATTTCATCACATTATGACCCATACAACACTCTGCACAGGCCTCTGAGTTGGGGAAGTTTAATTTGGATAACCCTGTAGTAAGATGACATGCCAGAATTATAAAATTAAAAATATGAAATAGTTGTTTATGAAATAATGGAACATTTTTGGAATCAAAATTATATATATAAAAGGAAATGAGAAGAGAAATTGTAGTTAGCTCGCCATTGTGCTTATATTGAACTTTTCTTAAGTGTAGGTTATTTAAGTTGCTTCATTTTTTTGGGGAGAGGGCACAATGCTTGATATATTTAAGAAAATATATTTTCTTTTTAATTCTGTAGACATAATTTCTTGTTCAGTTACAAAACTGTTTTTCAAGTCCTGTAATTGCCATATTAAGATTTCCCACTAAATTGTCAGATGAAATTTTTTTGTTCTGAACAATCTATCACTTTCTTCACTATTAGTAGTGAAATTTTCTGGAATTAGAATTGTGATAGCCATCTGTTTGTTGATTGGGGCATTGCTATCGCTGTGAAAAACATCTGTTACATAATTGTCATTTATTACCTTCACATATTTTTCACAAATTCCATTAATTGGAAAACTTTGCTTTTTTACTATATCTGAAAGATCTTCAAATTCACAGTTATTACTGTAAAGCTTAGCAAGGATCTGCTATACACTGTTGGTGATGTATAACGAGATTGGTAAAAAAGAAATGTTGTCTGCTAAATTTCGTCTTGCATGCTGAATTATATAAAATGCTAAATTATTTATGTCATATTATTATATTTGTTATATTGTGCTAAATTATATTAGTTATTATACTCGCACCTATTTTCTGCTTTTTGCACATGATTAAGGCTTACTTGAGCAGTGAATGAATAAATTCCCTCATATACTTCAGGCTTATCCTGGGCTAGCGCTAGACATTTTGTGGCCTGTTGCCTCTCTGCGAGTCCTAAGTTCTGCTTCTAAAAATTTTGCTTCCCAGTGCCTTTACTGAATTTAAAAATTTTGCTGTCCCTTAATTTTATTGCTTGACAGTTTTGTACATTCTAAAAATTTTGCTTGCTCTAAATTCTGTTCCTGGTATGGCCATGCCAGCTTTGGTACTGGTGTGCTGGTCCTCCACTAATCTGAATAATATTTATTTATTCTTAATTCAAAGAGCAGTAAATGTAATCTTTTGGCAGAGTATCATTTACAAAATCTATTTTTTTTTTTTTTTTTTTTTTTTTTTTTAATATATATGGAAAGAAATTTGTATTAAATTTCTTCTAGTCAACACACACAACGTTTTGCAGGGAGTTAGTTCAAGTCTGTAATCACTGCTGTCATAATGTCAACATAAAAGATTCCCATGCTGTTTAGTATTTAGTTATTAATGTTTTTTAAAAAATATTAAGCCATTGCTGCACGAGTCATTTCTCAGGCTGCCATGTGACAAGTGACGAAAGCAGAAAATAATAAATAATGATTCATCCGGCTATGTTTCAGATACTTGTCAAGCATAAAAGCTACTAGAGCAAAATCATATGTTAATAAATTATTGTTTCTTCAATATGGAGGTATTTTATTTCTGAAATTATCCGGATTCTCCATGTGTTTTTTTATTAGGGAAAAATATTAAATGCATATGTGTAAAGCATTAAAAGCTTTAAAAGAAAAAAAAAAAAAAAAAAGATTGTTGGTGATCCAGAGGTCAGAATTTTAAATCATTTTGAATATTAGATGTCAGGGCTTTGGACATCTGATATCTTAAATTAATATCTAAAAGCTCAATCTCGTACATGAATATGTGAGGGGAAAAAAAGAGTTTTCCGAAGTGAATGATGTGCAGTTCTTCTTTTGGCATGTTTATTGGTTGCTATACATATTGGCACTGTGTTAGCAGTAAACCATAAATATATTTTATGTTTTTTGAATATGTTCAGAATGCTTATTTTGAATGCATTGTATGCTTATTTTGAATATGTTCAGAATGGATAAATAATTTTTGCCTGAGAGAATTGAATGGGATATTCTTCACTGTTTAACAGCTGCTAGATCATCAATCCATTGGGTTCTTTCTTAAAAAAGTTATCTATGGGCAAATAAAAATACACTGAGTCTCAATATTTGCCGTGGTATGTGGTTTAAGGATGTTGTCATTGGCATGCTTGCATCCTGATCTGTTAGTGGAAAATATCTAGAAAATTTGAAATAATATACTGCTGGTCATCAAAATTACAACACCAGGAAGGAATGATCTGACAAACATCAAAATCACATGAAAGGAAGAGATTGGGATTTGCAAATGATTAGTATTTCAGCACATTTAGAAGACACAAGAGGGATAAACAACATCTGAAGCACTGCATTAAAAAAAAAATTTGTAGTGGATTTTTTATTCGGAAAGTGCTTTGTAAGGTTGGAGTTTGCTCAGAATATCGTGTTATGCCTCAAATACGAAGAGGAAAGGCTCACCAGCAAGTTATTTGATAGAATATTATTGTATTGTAGTTGATTATTGTTCTGCGATACTGCCGGTCGCACTGGTCGACATCCAACTACTGTCATGCAAATATGGAATCAGTGGATTGCTGAGGGTAATGCTGAATGGCATGCAGGATCTCAACGCCCTCCCATGACTAACACGAGAGAGGACAGACATATTGTGAGGTCAGCCCTACAAAACCGTATGACCACATCACAGACCATTAATCAGGAAATGGGCATGTTTACAGTGTGCACTTTCAGAAAGGTGACCAGTGCACCAAGCGACAAAGCTGGGTACAGTATTCTGTTGGCCGTATACATATCCGAGGAGACCATATGTTGCCTGCTTGAATTCAGTATCACCATAGGGGCACTGAACCTGGTGTGATTGTTTGGGCAGCCACTGAGTACACGACACGCACATCTCTAGTTCGGATCGGCAGTAATTTGAGCTGCCCAAATGGATACATTTTCTGACATCTTACGTTCAGTGGTTGTGCCCTGTCTTCAAGCCCCCAAACACCATATTACAACAAGCTAATGCAAGATCACATGTTGCACGTCATTTTCTGACCTTCCTCGATACCCAGGGTAATTGATTGGCTGCACGGTCTCCAGACCTGTCCCCCATTGAAAACATCTGATCATGGGTTGCTGAGATACTTGCCTGCCACTCCTCTCCAGCTAATAAGGTTGAGGCATTTTGCCCTATAGCCTTGAAGCAGCATGGAATGAGTTGCCCATTTCTGTCATCCATGCCTAATGGGCTAAGGGCCAGTTTAGCTGCCAGGGGTTGCAGCTGTTTCTACTAATTTTGCACCTCTGTAAACCTTCAAATGCTTACAAATTTAATCATTTTGTCTTCATGCCATACTGTTTACGTACAATAAATATCTTTTTTGTATTTGCTTTCCTTCATGGTGTTGCAATTTTAATGGCCAGCAGTTTTATATATATATATATATGTAATAATAAAATTCCATAATCAAGAATACACTTAAAATTCTAACTGTATGTTCTTTTCATTTTTAATGGCATCATTCTCTTATTTGAAAGTACGTGGAATTAAATCCACAGCCCCGTAGTCAAGTTGTTTTTCCCGCCTTTTCTACACGTACAGTTATACAATGTTCTGGAAGTATTTAAAAGCGAACTGGATTGGCTGATGAGGCTGACATGATTTCTTGGAAGCTCCGCCTTTCCAGAGGCTATAAAAAGACTCGCAAAAGGAATATCGGAGCTTTTTCTTAAATATCACGATGCAATAAACTTCATACAAAAAGTTATTAGTAATTCTTTTGATTTACTCTGGATATCTGATTTTTGTAACTGCTATTTCTCCTGAATAATAATAAATGGATCCTGTTTTTTAAACTTATCGTCTGATTATTTAAGCTATGACTACATTTATGATTCTTCAACAATCTATTTATTCCTGACAAAAGCTGATACATCACATATATATATATATATATGTAAAATAAAATCTAGGAGTGGAGAATATAGTAAGTACTCAACAGAAGGGAAGCAGTTGTGCCATAAATACAATTTTTCTCCTGGCTAACTGAGATTTCTGCAGGTCATTTTTCAAACACCTGTTTGCTAGGGAGTCGGCCACCATAATCAGTAATAATGTATTGAATGACACTGTGTTGATGCTGTCCAGGATCACGCTTTCAACCCTTGAGGCAAGGCTGGCATTATGTATTGTTCTGCTTAGTGCAGTCTCTATGGATAGCAAATTCTGCTATCCAGTACCACCCAAAATTCTAAAAATTCTGCTGCTTAGTGCCTCTGTTAAATGGCAAAATTTTGTGAACCTTAATTTTTGCTTCTTGATATTATCCTAAATTCTAAAAATTTTGATTTTCCGTAATTGAGCTGCTTGGTAAGTTGCAGCTGCACTGTTTTTAAAGCTGGCTCTGTTGGGGGCCATAACATTCGACCATTTGACCTAAACAATAAGTGAATACCCACTGTTGCCATGCCTATGTGTTATCTTACTAGATTTAAAATGGTTTAAAACTTGGCATCTCCAAAGTCCTGACATATCTGTCTCTCAAACTTTCTATTGTAGTACATTAAAAGTATTTGAAAATATGCTGGAAAATTTAAAAAATTAAAAAAGGGAAATAATTGACCAGTCTTTGATGAATTTATATTTATTATATTTTTATCTCATTTATTAATGCGAAGCTTGTTTTTAATTTTTGAAAATCTTTTTAGTTACAACTTATCCAAGGCTCAGCAGATCTTGTTCCAACTCATGAGCAAGTGGATGTTCCCCATCTTAAGCCAGGAGAGGAAGGGATAGTTTCTGTTAATTTTACAACTCCTTCTACACCTGGTGTATATAGAAGTCACTGGAACTTCTGTCACAAGAGTCGTCCATTTGGAGATATTGTTTGGTGTCATATTATTGTAAAATCAGGAAAAGAAGAAAATGCTAAAACTACAGAAAGTGAAGATTTGCAAGGAAAATCAGATAATGTGCTGTGCTTAGATATTCATTGCGATCAGGTATGGGAATTTTTTACACTGTAACTTTAAGGTGTGCTTTTTCTGCTGGATGTACTGCAGTCAGTATATATATTTGCTACATTTTGTAGGATGTGGATGATCAGAGAAAGGAAATAACATCCATTGCACAAGTTTTAACTGCAGTGAAAGAAAAGCATGATAGAGGAAACATAGTGCCCAGGAAACTAGCTGTTAGTTCTCACACTGCAACTCCTAATAATACTCCATTTGGTAAATTGCATTTTCTCATTGCATTATGTATTTAAAAAAAAGTCGTCTTAAAAATTATTAAATTGTAGTTTTTTTTTTTTTTTTTTGTTTGTTTGTTTTTGTTATTTATGTGTTATCCTTCGAGTACTGTTTTCCAAATTGTATATAGTGAAATTATATAACTATAAAAAATATTCAGAAAAAAGATGGTGAATGGTTGGAATTATTAATTTAGGAAATAAATGTTACCTTTTAACTTTTCACTGATGTTACTTTCTGTGCAAGATGCTGAGTCCATTGAACATTCTTAGTGGCATGATTGCTTTTATCTTGTCATTAGATTTTCTGTCACTTATTATTCACATTTTGTTTTTATATGTTCTTTGATGGTCTAAATATTATTCTAATGCATGGAAGGTTGTGAAAACAAGCAATAAAATAAGTCATGTACCAATAACGGTGGCCTTATGAATGGTGGACATACCAATGATGAGCTATCATTTACTCAATATTTGTTAGCTAGTTTATACATATCTAGCTAATAAACATTATTTAAATGGTAACTGGTCATTGGTAGGTCCAAAAATCTCTTCTGCTCAAGAGGTTAAGAAACAGCGGCATGTATATCTTTTTTTTTTTTTTTTTTGTGTGTAAAATTATTCTGTGTCTGTGGGTTGTTTGTCAGATAGCAGCATTATTTAGAACATTTTTAGATATTTTGTGATATTGTCGTAAAATTTTACTTTTGCTATTTTTCTCCAATTTTTTTTTAATATTGTGTCATTCGTAATTGTTTGACAATAAATACAAAGGAAGCAATACAAAAATATAAAAAAGTTTCATTTAATCATATAAACACCATCTTATTTAATGACTTTTTGCCGTCTCTTTGGCAGATAGAAAATTCCCTTTTTTAAAAAAAAGTTATTAGATTTAGTGGTAAAAAAGTTACCGACATGCTGTTTGACAAACTTCAAAGAAATAAACTCTTGGATGCTCAGAGAATTTTAAAGTGATATGAAGGGATGAAAATCTGAGGCTGCAAAATCTGTTGAAAAAGTGGCTCAAACATCCCAGCTATACTGAACAAGTCTTTGTGCTTATCTCATGACCTTTTTTGTGTAACCTTATTTATAATAATATCTCATCTCCAGTAATCAGATGTGTTTCGAAAAGGAAACTTCTTTATCACTTTTCAGTAAAATATCACATTCTGAAACTTCAGCAATCATATTTTGCTGTGTTAAAATATCACTCATACATACCATTTGTACCCATAAATCATACAGGTAGTCCTCTTCACATGAATATATAACGATCATATTTTGGAATATTTAGTCTGTCTGATTCTTCTTAAACTGTATAACATGGATTTTCAGTAGTAGCTGCTTTTCTTCTGTTTACAGAGGATGGCCATTGAGATCGTATATCACCTTTGAGGCTGAAATTTCCATGCCTAAACTTCCCAAACCACCTTCAAACTGAGTCATTGGAAAACTGTTTGCCCATAAACAAAAACTAAATTCTTAACGGCTAAATAAAAGGCTGACTGCATTCTCCCTCTGAAATTCCTCCTTAGGGAAGAATCTAGTTTGATTATTTAAAATTATCCCTAGGTTGAGAATCTAGTTTGACTATTTAAATGTATGATTTTTTTTTTAATTGAGACCATTTGAATTTAAACTTGGTGATAACTTGATTGTTCATTATGTTTTATGTACCGTTATTCAATAGAAGATTGACATCAGAATTTTATAGTTAATAGTTAAATTTTTGAAATAGTTACATTGTTTATGCCATGTTAATTTTTTATTATTACAGATTTAACTCCTCCAAAATCTCCTGATCATCATGAGTCTGTCAAAGAATTACAAGAGGCCCTAATAGATAAGCCTGGCAACGGTATGAACAAATTATTGTATAAAACATTTTCCGCATGATACTTTCAGTTAAGATAATTTACACACACACACTCTCATGCATATATAGAAGAGAGCACACATGAATTAAAAGATTCCAGTTCAGAAATAAGCACATTTTATTATTTTAGTCTTAATAGTCTAAAATAATAATTCAGTCTTGTATGTTAAAACAACGTATACAAACCTATGCGTAGTTTTAACAGTAATAATTTTATAACTGAAGAAAGTTTTCTACTTATTGACGATAGTGTATTAATATATTATGAAAAATTCAGCTTAGATCACCTAGTCATAATCAAAAATCTATTGCTAAACTGGTCCATTTCCCAGATGTAGAGAATATAAGTTATGGATCCCTGCTTCTCTCCGAATGAAAATATGTTGAAAATCACTGGTTAAGTTGAATTGGTGGAACTTAACTGCAAAGCGAAGATGCTTGGTTTAAAGTCATTCTCTGCACCATGCTATGTATGTTGTATGCAGAAGTAAATAGGATGTAAATAGATGAAATCTTGAGAGTTCCAGTTGTTGCTGTAAATTTTTATATGGTGCCTACATATTTTAATCAGCCTATTTTAAGTAGTAACTTAATAAATGAATCTTCAAAACTGGAGTCTCAAAGATACCCACATGTATACCGCTGTCTTAATTTGAATCATTTTTTACATTGCAGAACTCTATTTTGCTGTGAATGAAATGTACGATTGGCATAACCTCAGCGCTCAGCAAGTGTTAACTATAGTACTCTAACAGAGCACTGAAATGCTACACATTAATTTTGACACTTTTTTAACCCAAAATTTTAACAGAATCATTGTCGTAAGATTGTGTTTCACTCGAATTGTTCACCTTTTCTGGGGGTGTATTTTCGTAAAAATCTCTCCGCAGGTAATTGACAAAAATTGCGAAATTTTCTTATTTTTGAACACCAGTCAGTGTATTAGGCAATCTCCATATGAGTCAGCTCCTTGTGTGGGCAGCAGGATAACTTCAAGAAAAAGTTTTTGGGAAATTGGATGTTCAGATTTTAAAATTTATTAATAAATTTATAATGAAAATTTGCATATTTCCGTTTTAAGAAAATTTGATGCAGTGGAAGTAGCATTTTTAATTATAATTTTCAGAACAATAACACGATCATTGACAGCTTGAATTTAATATTATTTCATTATCTTGTTTTTGATTATGATCTACTTATGTAAATTCATTCCCAAATTTAAAAGTAATCAATCATATAATAAAATAATGTAGTACCTGAACTGCTATTACCTCATATATATTGTTAAATGAATTTTGTTAAATATGTTAAATTGTATCCGTATAAGGTTACTTGTTCTCTGAATTTGTTAAAGAGAAGACAATCATTTCAAGTCAGTATACACAATTGTTGTAAAAACCTAGGTTAAAAAAAGCTGTAGGAAAAACATTCTTGCTCTTTTCCTCTTTTTAGATTGGAAAAATTCGACTATAATAGTAATAAATGTGTAATTAGATTGCTAATTACCAATTATATCAGTATCTTTAGAAATTATAGTATTGTTAAGCGTTCTATGTATGAAAAATCTCATAATGCGTGTGTGCCAGTATAATTTGCATGCTTGAATGTTACATTTTTATGCATTTAATAATTTGCTTTTGTTTAGATTCTGACAATGAAGATGGATGCAGTATTGTAAGTTTAAGCAGTTCTGAATCTGACACTGAATTTGTTGTCATTCCTATGCCAAAATGCTTTAATTTATCAGAATCCATAGTTTCACAGCACATTCCACATTTGGCTCAGTATCTACATACAGAAACAGGTATTTATGATTATTATTTTTTACATGAATTATGTCATGGTACTTATTATGTATACTGTTTTGTAAAATGATTGTTCATAAAATATATATATGTAAAAATTATGAGGGTAGTAATATAACAGTTTAAAATTAAGAATGTGTGTACGTTTATTGTTCTTAAAATCTTTCCCTTATTGTTCAACTAGAGCTAATAAATTAAATTGATTTTAAAATATATTTATTGTTATTTTATATACAAACAAATAATTATATTGTTTTTAATGCAAATAAATCGAGTAAATTTGATAAAAAAATTTTAAGTCATTAGAGCTAGAATGTGTTTGGTATTTAAAAAAAAAGTATCAATGGCAAATATGGGTTGAAATGTGAAATTGGGAAAGGTGTAAACTTTTTTATTTTTGTCAATGCAGTGCATGTTTGTATGTGGGTATTTTATTGCTTCATTAAGTCTGAACTTTCTGATGTTGAATCAAGCTCGGAAGAAAATTTTTGGAGCCTTGAATTCATTTTTACTTCCTTGTATGAAGTAAAAAGGAAATACTGTAATCGCAAAAAGTTTCAGGCAGCATATTTCAACGAAAATATCCATTTTGATTGCTACCGAATGCAATTTAACGATGTTTTTGCATGATATCGGTACGTAAGGACTGAATAAAAGACTCATTTCCTCCAAAAAAAAATTATAAAACTGCTTTAAAATTAATTCTGAAGAGAATTTTCGTGGCGTCTGTACGAACGTATGTATCTTGCATAACTCAAAAACCAGTAGCCTCAGAACGTTGAAATTTTGTATATAGGACTGCTATAACATGTAGATGTGCACCTCGTATTTTGGTTGCAATCGGCCGCATCAAATATATATAAATATATTTATATATATATCCACTTTGCTACCCGGCTCAGTGATTTCAGTTTCTTTACTCTTATATGTTTGTAAATTGTACATTTTTAGCTTTAAAAATTATTTAATTATGTTGTTTTTATCTTCCGGTTAAGGTTTTTATGCCTTTAGTAAATCTGTGTGCAGTGTTTTTAAAATTATCAACAATTTTAAAGTTGTTTAAGTGCCGCTAAGCCTTTTTTCTGACGGCGGCCATTGATTGTTTACATTTGAAACAGCAGACTAGTGGATTTGTTCCCAATCTAGAGAAACTCAGCTTCGCAACAACAAAGATAACGCTTTTATTTATTATTGCCAATTAAATCATGCTTAATCCTTTCTGGAATTTTTTTGAGGAAATAAGTGTTTAAGATTTACTTCGTAAATTTTAATATAGATATTTGAGTTTTTATGTATTTTTGCCTTCTCACGAAGTGAGAACTGAATTAATTGAATGAGAAATACTCAATTGTCTGTGAAAAATTGTTTCTTTTTTGTTTTGTTTGCTTAATTTTTTTTATACATCATTCTAGCTTTATTATAGTATTTGAATAGAACATGTGGCAACGATTAGATATTTCTATTCTTTAAATGATATAAATTTTGTGCATTATGAGTTATAATATGAACAAAATATAATACTGTTAAGTGAATCTAGCGCCAGAGTGTCGCTATGGTAAACAAATACTAGAGTGAATTTTAAAGAATGCATTTATTCTATTGTGGTTTATGCGCTGTCGGTGAAGTAGATTTAATTCAATCCAATAAGTTTAAATGAAATGTAAGGAGAAATGCATATAATTTAATATTCCGTACAAGGAAGTCATGTACACATCAGATTTTTTCTTTTTAATTCTGCAGGTGCTGACCAAAGCAAAAAACTTGAAAGAGTAAAATTAGTGCCAGTAGAAAGTCTACAACAGAATATCATCAAAAAGTCAGAAACTGTTTCCCAAGAAACTGGAGTTCCTGAGTTATCGGAGCATACTGATGAAGTCATCTTAACAGTGGCAGAAAATGGTGTAGAGACAGAAAAAAAAATCAACATTTCTCATGTATCTGCCGATGGCTCTTCATCAGAAGTCAGCATTATTGAAAGTGGAGATAATAGTCCAATAGTAGAAGACGTAATGCCTACTATTGATTCAATCAACATAGCTGTATCAAATGATGTTATTCGTTCAAAGTCTGATATTGTATATGAAGTGAAATACCCAGTACCTGAAGTTTTCAAAGATGATACTCAGCTTGCAGAGAAGTCTAATAAAGTTGCACAAACTGAGGTATGTTTTTTGTGTATGAGATTCGTATTTTAACTCTCAACTGGAAAAAACTTTAAGCGTGAATTAAAAGCAGCCTACGTGATGTCTGATATATTATATTGAACTGGTTTCGTATGAAACATGACTTGAAATAAGTATGGTTTAAGATGGATATAAATAGCTTAAATATATAGAATCCCATTTTGAAATATTACTTTTTCATTACAGTAATCGTGATAGTTCTAATTATATTCTGTAGAATTAAGAATTTTAATCTCTCATTGCATCATCATTATCATCATATAATGATGATATTCATCATATATCATATATATATATATAGTATATACAGTGAAAAGTCGTTAATCCGGACTCGTCGGGACTTCGGCGATTCCGGATTATCAATCATCAGTTTAAATCTAGTAAGATGGCATGCAGAAATTACAAAATTAAAAATATGAAACCGTAATTTATGAAATAAAGAACAATTATGGGTATCAAAATTTACAAAAAAAAAAAAAAAAAAAAGCTTTAATATTTATTTGTTTACTTTATTAAACATTTCTTTCAATGTAAGTTGTTTAAGTTGCTTCGTTTTATGTGATAATATTTTCTCTTTAATTCTATAAATAGACATAATTTCTTCTTCAGTTACAAAGTTCCGGTGTTCAAGTCCTATAATTGCTGTGTCGAGAATACCGACTAATTTGTCAATCGAAATTTTTTCATTTTCAATAACCTCTGTTACTTTCTTCACTATCCGAAGCGAATTATAATGACGAGGAACTTGTTTTAAATCATATCAAAGACGGAGAACATCAAGATGAAATACTAAATTTAGTAAGGAATTATAAGCCAAATAAAATAAAAACATCTGCCTTGAAAATAAGGATAGTGCTAACAGATCAACTTCCAATTCATTGCGCGCCGCGGCGTTCCCCCCGCCGAGCAGCGTGAAAGTGATAAACAGATTTCGGATTTCGAAACATACTTTCGCTTTATATCCTTTACATATTAGCAAATATATATCGGAAATTCTTTTTGATATAATCGAAAGTTCAAGCTTACTTTTATAAAATTGCTCTAACAGTCTGCAAAAAATAATAAGCCGGATCCAATTCGAAGATTAAGGAACAACAATGTGCAACATTAACTGAATTAGATAATTTTAGCTTAGCTTATACTGTCCGTTATACATTAAACGTGCATGCGCATACGCGCATATTCACAGTGGTAAAGGTCTTACGCGCACACGTAAACGCCTATGCGCATGCGATGCATGCGCAGAAAGTTTGTAGCTTTGAGGTCCGAATTAATGACTTTTGACTGTATATATATTTACTAATAATGAATTTCAGGTTTTGGTCTTTGTAAAAAATAAGTTCTAAATTTCTTACTTTATGTCTATATATATATATATGAAAGGAAATATCGGTTTACGCTTAAGAAGGTTTCACAATTTTTTATACTTATTTTTGCGTGTTGTAAATAACACTATTTTAAAATTATATATTACTATTGTGAGAAATTTTGGTTCTTATCTATTAACATCTGATAGACAAAAATAATTTATTTAGGAATCCACATCTGATATTTTGTATAATGCAAGTTTTCCAAAATTTCCTGTGGAAGGTATAACCAGTGAATACGAACCAATGCTTACCTCTAATGCCTGCGAGGAAAGGTAAGAGCATTTATAATTTGTTATTGATGTATACAGCTGTTTGTTATATGTTATGATGTCCTAATTATACTAGTGCTTAGAATGTATCTCTCATATCATAACAGTGCATTAAAAATTAGAGTAATTCAGATTTATATATTAATATTGTATTAAAATTTAGTTCTGTATTGGCGTTCAGTGTATGTTCTGTATACATTCAAAATGCAGGCTAAAAAGAATCTCTGTGCTTGGTGTTGAAAATATGTGGTGTTGAATGGCATAGCTAGTTTGCAGACATGAAAGCAAAATATATCCTCCTGTATTTTTAACTGTCTGAGGGGCCTGTTAGATAATAGCTGCTATTTTATGTTTATTGTTATTTAAAATACTTTGCCATTTTAATTTTTTTCTTAAATATGTAGATATCCCATTTAATAAGAGGTTAAATATCCAATTTAATAAGAGGCAGAAGTAAAACAATAATAACCATCTTGTCCTTCTCATTTTAACTCATTCTGTGCTGCTATTTACTACTATTATGGGCTTAACAAGTACATTTCAAAACCAGGCATAAAAGAAAGAATCAACATAAAGTTATTAGTGTAAAAAAAGTCACAAATCTTCTTTAAAATGTGTGGAACTATAATTATAAAATATAATTTTTGAATTTAATGGTAATTACTTAATAAGTTTTACGAAGTTAATTTTAATTTCAAATTTGTTTTTAAATTATATTAAATGTTTAGATTATGCTTAATTTTGTTCTTGGAATTGGTATTGCAGAAGTAAAGTTCACGCATACATATTGCTTTAATTTATTCAATTCTGATTTGCATAATTTGACAATTTTTTTCATTGCTAGTACTTAAAAATCCTTAAAAGTACTTCATTTCTGTGTACAAATGCTGTGAGGTCCATTTTCTTATCTGAGGAATATTTTGCCCATAGAACTGCCATTATCTGCAAAAATATAAAGCGATCTCTGAATTATTTCTGCAGTGAATGCAGCTTTGTTTGAATTAACTTTTGCTTCAAAGTGAAATTTTGCGCTTTTCATATATGCTCACATAAAAGTAATAAATTGACCAATTAGAAATGAGTTCAATATAATAATTTAAAATATGCATGCAAAATTATTGGAAGAATTTGGAAATTCTTACTGAAAGTGTGTTTATCTTTGATGGCATTCATTATTCATGTATTTACAAAAGTTTTTCATTGCCAAATATTGATGGAATTAAAGACAGTTACATTTTCCATTGTTTTATTTCCTTATACATTAAAAATATTTTTAGGTTTCTATACTAATGTTAGAATGAAAGTAGTAGTTTCAGTCGCATATAAAATTCTTGAAGTCATAATTTAAATATGCTGTTTTAGTGATCATTATGCACCATAATGCTGAGATTAAGTATTTTCCTTTAGGACCATTCAAGTGCTGCCTGAAGGACTTGTGACTGGTGCTCTAAGTGCTGCTGCCTCTGTGTACAATACTGCCCGTGCCGTGATATCTACAATGCAACAGCCACGGAATGAAAGGGTAAATTTTTTATATGCTTGTATAATTTTGAAATTTACCCACTGAGATTAAAATAGCAGATAAATATATGGAAATCTAAGGAGAATGCTGTTAGAATCCTTGGAACTTACCTTTTGAAATATTGTTCAAGTCTTTGGCTATAGTGTGCTATTAAACGGATGACTTTTGAGGTGAGATTTTAGAATTATTTTACAAGAGAAAATATTTTTGAGATGGCAAATAAAGTGTGATACTTTTCTTTGCTAGAATTTGCTTGATGAAATTATAATTCTGTAACAGCACTTTGTCATGCTGCAGAAACGAGTACGATCGATTGAGCTTTTTTCAAGCCGAGTGTGCTAAATTTTTTTCAGAAGTATGTCTGTGATGTTCTGCATATGTGTGGGTTTTTTCATCATTTACTTATATGACTCGTAAATAAGATATGGATATATATATATTGTGTGTGTAATATAGATGTAGAGAAGTTGCTTGTGTAGGTTGATATTGAAGCATATGTAGAAGATCCATAATGAGGTAGTTCACATAGGTAGATTTAAACATTAAATTTTGTTTCAATCAACATTTGCAGCCTCAGTTAACTGAGGTGCTTTAACTGATACATGACTTGTGCCTGTGCTAAAACATAATGTATTATTAATAGCATTATGGTAAGCAGTACAGCAGCATCTAGCTTGGCTGAGGAGCAGAAGCAAAGTTAAATGTTTTCAGCTTGAAATCTTAAATTTAGAGCAGATTAATTTCGATTTTCATTTCGATTCGATGATAAATAAATCTCTAAAATTATTATTAGCTGAAGCTTATGTAAGTTATTTTCATCAGAATGTTATTTAAATGTCATATAATATGGATTAATATAGAAATGACACAGTCCAGAGAGGTTTATTATAAGCAGATTACTGTTTTTAGACTATATGAAAAATACCCAAATTAAAATGAATTTAGGTATTATAAATTTTATTTACATGCTTTTTATCTTGCATACACACATATATATATATTATTCAAATAATTGAAAAAGAAAATGTAAAGCGAACTGGTAATTAGACGAAAGACCTATCTGGTCTCAAAAACTTTTGTGCATAATGCTGCAAAAAGATTTGAAAGAATAGTAGTAGGTAGGAACATTGCAGCAGTCTTGCTGAAAAGTTACCAGGAGCTGTAGCTCCACGAAATGTTGTAACATAGTACTACATAAACAATAAGAAATTTGCCTGGTAAAACTGGAAAAACGGTATAGTGCGATAAAACTGCCAAATTTTAGTGCTGGAAGACTTGCTACTGCTCGAAAAAAATTTAATTAATCTGACCGTTGTGGAATGTGAAAAGATAACTCACATGAAAAAAAGATGGACGGAAAAAATAAATTTATATATTAGGAAGTTACAAAAAACATGGAGTATAAATGTCAATATATAAAAAGCCTATACAAAAAATTAAAATTAAAAATATATAATATGCTAATACATAAAAATTAAAATAAAAATAATAAAGACACAAAAAGCATAAAAAAAAAATCAAAATTAAAAAAAATATAATAAAGACACAAAAAGCATCAAAAACTAGCTACAAAAACAATAATTAAATAGCGGAAAAATGGTATATTAGCCTACTCGTACTCTCAGTTGGCTTTTCAAGGGATAAAAACTGTTCTACGAAATAGGCTAAATACCATTATGCGTTTCGCCGAAACGGACCATTGAAGCTACACGTATATATATATATAGAAAAAGCGTGCAGATTTAATAAAAGAATTATCATTTTTCTGGCTTTCTAGCTGCATAATGTACATAATTCTTTACATATAAAATATATGTATTTTTCTGCATGTGCTGAAGAACATTTTGTCAATATAATGAAAAAGTATGTCTTGTAGTATAAATTATGTTAAAAAAAGTATATTTCCTCTTTGAATTGTGTAATCTTCATTGAATTAAAGTCCGATATTAAAAAAATAATAATCTTTTATATGCATTATAATAAGTCTGTTTGGCATACAGGGGATGGGAGACCATTTATGTAATTAAGTTATTCCAATTAATCGAACACTTATATAATATTTTAGTAAATCTATATAGAGCAGAACTCCATTTCATATGCTAATAATTTTCTTCTTTTTAAAACAAAAATAGGATCATTGCTTGTCTCAAGAACTACCACCTAATGCAGATGCACGACTTGGCCCTTCTAGAGCTGAAAACTATCACTCAGCAACTTTGAATCCAATCCATCAACTTGTAGAAATGGGATTTTGCAACAGAGAGCAAAATGAACAGTTATTGGAAAAGCACAAGGGGGATGTTGCCTTAGTTGTTGCTGAGCTAGTGAACTTAAATGATAATGACTGGTATGCATCTCGCCATGCTTCATCACCTTCTGCAAGCTTTGATTAGAGGTGTGTGAAAACCAAATACAAGATATCTCTGTAAAACAGCTGTGTCAGTTATGGTGTATCATTTATAAATAATTCTTTTTTCCTTTTGAGGTAGAATTTTTTCATGTCCATTAATTATGCTGTTTTTGTTATAATTTAACATTGTTTATCGCTCTAATTATAGTCAGCAATCTTTTTCTGTGTGCTTAGAAATGTGTAAAATAAAATTTTAATAAAAATGTAATTCGTATTTTTGTTTCAAATTGAAATTGGATTTATGTTACAAATAATAGTGTACACGTAGAGAACAACCACCTCTGAATGTTGGAAGTTTGTATTTGATTGGGCATATTATTGGGGGGGGGATTGTATTTACTTGAAAATGAAACCCTCTCGAATATGAAGTTCTCTATACATGGAAATAAAAATATAAAATTCTCCTTAGGATACATTTAAGAAAGTAAAAATTAACGTTTGTCTGGGAGTATTTCTGCGAAAAAGAATCTTTTTCTTATCCTTTCCTTCGGAATTTCTTTGTATAACAGAACCATTAGCTGTGGCCCAAGGATAGAAAATGTTACCTGTTTATTTTCAGGTAGCCAGTGTAGTAGATGCAGGCCTGAACTGAAATCATATGCATTGAAATCGTTAGATGTGGTTATTAAAACATATTTATCTCCAGTCTGCCACCATTTGTCAAAGTTAAAGATTTCAATTTTAATCAATAAACTTAACTATTTAAAAGCAATGTGTTGTTACATTCTGAAATAAAATATTTTTATCTTCTAAATGCCAGCCTGTTGCCATATAGTAAAATGTAAGATATTAAAACTTTTAAATTTAATCTTATCAACTAACTCATTGGTTTCAAAGCAATAACTGTAGTTCTTAATATTTTTTCGATTGTTTAATATGATTGATATAAATAAATATGCATTTAAATAACAAAATGTCTAATGAGATTATTATATAATTTAAATAACAAAATGTCTTATTAGTCTAATGAGAAATAAAAAATATTTTTGCAGAATTACACTTAACTGTTAAATCATTTTATATTTTTTCCATCGTGTGATAACTGTTTCAAGCGGCAAGTGTCATAAATAACAAAAGTGATGAGAATATCCTTGTGTTAAGTGCCATATACCATGGAGTTTTTAGAATAAACAAGGGATAAAAGGCATACATACAGTATTTAATTTTTTGGAGTAATTTGAACATCCTGACTGTTGGCTATATTGTACATATTCATCTATATATTTTGAAAACTTATTCATTAATACTTCGTGTTAGAATGAATTTTTCACAAGTAAAAAAATAGTGATCTACTTTTTCAAAACTTTTTTTGAAAGGGCATGTTAAAAGTTGTAAATATCCAGGACTGAGTAATTGTGTGCCTGACTGGGGAATTTTCCACAAGTAAAAAAATAATGATCTACTTTTTCAAAACTTTTTTTGAAAGGGCATGTTAAAAGTTGTAAATATCCAGGACTGAGTAATTGTGTGCCCGACTGGGTATAGTCAAAAATAATTTACGAGATTTTCTAGCACCTAACAGAATAATTTAGATAGAATAATGTCCCATGCTTTGCTGAGGGACAATTTTCCCCTACAACCTCGAATTATTTCAAATTTATAAATAGCCTTTGGTTAAGTTACCAATCAGTAGATGGCACCACCAAAATGAATAATGTTTAGGTTATGTTAGTGTCAGTTTTTCTTTACACAAGGTCGATTCACATTGTTTGCATTTTCTTTAGTGATATTTTATGCTGCTGTGGAATACATTCAAATATCGAATGATAAAAGTGAATATGAATATTGTGGTGGGTTAAATACTGAGCAAGATTTAGATGTTAGTGAGAATGAATCACCTAGCAAAGACTGAGACATTCCCTTACCATGTTTTCGCATGTATCACAGTCCCACTGCTATAAATTGTTTTCAACTATATTGTTTATAACTTATCAAATATGATTCCATAAGCAAATTGTCTTTTTTTAATGTAGTATAGTTGCCTTTCCCGACTTAACTTGGATTTTTTAAAAATTTATTTTGATTATTAACTTATATAATATTTTGATTATAACTTCGATTTAAAAAAAAAAAAATTGTTAGCTTTTTTTTTTTTACACAAAAAGTTCCATTTATATTTTGAATGGAACTTTTAGTTAAAGTATTATATTCTTCATGCAGTCTGGCAAGTAGCGTGTTTTGACTAGTATTAACCTGTTAACTGACTTGCTATTCAGTTTGACGTAAGATCTTTAGCTTACCTTTTGGATTAGAATCATTATTAAATAACAAACTCAATCAAAACCAACAACTTTCTTTTGAATAAGTAATTTTATCATGGATGCATAACTCCGAGTCAAGTTTTATTGAAAAGTTTTATTTAATAAGCATTGTATTTTATATTCCTATAAGCTACTGAGGTTATGGTAAAAGCATTAACTTTACAAGATGAGTTTACTATTTCTATCTAATTTGATTCTAGATATAATCATTTCGTATTAAATGCAGTGCATTGTATGTTTTCAAATTCAGCAAAGGATTTTTTTTAGTTCTGCGAGCAGTGATATACAGTGGATAGTAACTATTACCTTACAAAAATGACTGTTTTTGATACTTCAAGCTTTCTGTAATGAGGAATCCTTTTTAACTATTTTTATATGAAAGAAATGCATGTACTTAAAAACAAACAAGATCACTTTTTGATTTTCAAACAATACTTAAAAATTTTATGAGTGGATTTTGGAGTAGGAATATTTTACAACAGATTTCTGGTCTAAAATCTGATGAAATTTTCATTACAAGTGCTTATTTTAGTATTTAAATCATTTTAGGCAGTTGGTAATACTATGCAGTATTAAAATGTTTAAATATGAAAAATAATTGAGCAATTAATTAGGAAAATTCAAAATCTGTACTTTTACTATTATAGAAAAATTTAATGTTTACCAAATCAGAAATTACTCCAATATACTACTGTGTAATTTTATGAATCTTTTTCACATAAAGTATTCCTATATCAAAGTTTTATAGAAGTTAACACACAGCTGATCAAAAACAAGAATTCTTTTTTTCCAGTTGCCAATATGTTAAGATCATTTGTACTTATGACAAAACCACTTTTTATTCTGATAAAATAAGTGCTGTACGTTACTGAACTTCCAAACTCATCTCTTAACTTTGTTATTAATAAAATGAGACACTAGTGTTGAGCCATCTAATGTGGAGGTTCTTGTATAGTTAGGTTAATAGGTTCAAGTTACTATTAAATTCAATTTATATTTTTAAACTGTATTTCTTGGTCATGATTAAATGTCTAATGTGTCCCCAAGATTAATTTTTCCCTCCAAAAAAGGTTCTGATGATTTGACTAGCTTGTAAATCAGTGCTATTTTTAAAGTAGGGGGAAAATGTTTTAAAAGTGATTCAGCTGATTTCTAGAATCTTAATTTTTTTGTGTTCAGATTATCTGTTACTGAGAATCATTCACTTGGGGGGGGGGAGTTTTATACATCTCCTTATCAGGCCAGTTAAATCCTTTACCTATTTTTTTAACAGATTTTCATTCTGAAGTTGAGAGAATATGAATCCTCAGTATTTTTTTTGGTTAGAGAGTTTGTGCACGCATTGTTCACAAATCTAATTCACATTATCTTTCAAAAAGAGGTCTGATCCTAATTTTAAGCCTGTTGTAGGATTTATTTTTTTTTAGAGAGAATGCATAAGAAAGTTTTTTCACATAGATATAATATTGAGAAAGGCAATATAAACTTGACAGCATAATCAGCGATTTGTTGAAAATCATATAGTTTCATTAAAACCGAATCCTCTTTTTTTTGTAGAAAGAAGCGTAGACTGAAAGGTTTTGTATTCTTTAGCACTTACAAGAGAATTTGCTATTGTTCAAATGACAGATATTTTAATAATAGAATGTTCCCCTATTCAAACACGTAACTTTTTTGACCTAATAACTAAACAGAATTAAAAAAATTCTACAGCGATGTACTTATACCAACCGATGAAAACATCCACACTTCTCTTTGAGACACGTATTTGTATGTTTAACCCATGTTCTGTGATATAGTATGTCTCTATTATTGATCTTGTTTTCGACATTTTCCTGAAGTATTAACTGTTAAAGTTTCAGCATTTTATAGCTTTTGTACTCCTTTATGTGGCAATAATGGAATGGCAAGCAGTCTTTACTATAAACACATATTTCATCAGATTATTGTGACATGTTCTAATGAGCTGATGTAAAAACTGTATAAAACTCCCTTTTCATTAACTGTTCAAATGCATTGATTTTACATATTTACAGGAGCAGCAATTTATAACTAAACAGTGGGAGTATAATATATAATAAAGTTGCAGTTGGCAATTATGGATTTTTCAGTACACCAATTTAATTCTTTTCCCCTTTTATAATTAAAAAAGTTATGATAAGTAATAAATATTTGTGTGTGATCTGGCAAGACAATTTATGCTATAGTTGCATCAGATTACCAAATGTGTAATAACGTCTGTTATTACACATTTATAAGCAAGATTGTCATTTAATGTATAAAAGCATGTAAAACGAATTTTAATTTTGTCCTAACGAAAAGATAATACTTTGCTCTTCATAAATTTAGAAAGTGTTAGATTAGTACAAATAAATTTATTATTTTGACAATGGAAAATCACTTTTCTGACTTGAATGTTGCATCATCTGAATGTTTTGGGGGAAAAAACATTAAGATTTCTGATATGCAATGAGAAATACAAAAAACCTGATGCTTATTTACAAAGATATTATAAAACAGTAAAATAATTTAGATTATTTAATTATGACAAAGCACATTAGAACCATCTGCCTATGAGAAAGGATTGCTTTTATGTGGAAAATACGTATGTGGTAAAAACTATTGTAGCTTATATGTGGTAAAAACTATTGATGCTTTGCAGTTTAGCTTTGTTCCAATACACTATTTTCAATTCTACTATTAATTAAAAAAAAGTAGTTTTTAAATAGCTACAGATGAAGCAATATATAACCTCATCTACATTAAGACATTTATCCAATCAATATATGAAGATTTCAATATCACAACATATATCTTTTAACCTGCACCACATATTGACGTTTTATTCAATGTCTTCATCACCTGGAAGATGTATGCCACAAATGCAAGCTGGAAAGCACTAAACACGCAAAAAATCACTTGGGCTGTCAGGGCTATTAAAGATGTCATCTGAATTCTCCTGCTACTGGTTTGGCTCTGTCATGATAAAATACACAACTCAGCAGGCCCAGTTATTTTTTTATACTGTTTTTGATACTTGGGCTAGAAGGAAGTTTTTCTCATTATGTAATTAGAGATCAGTAAATTTCTATCAGAAATATTTCTTGAAGTAACATTAACTGCGTATGGGGAAGCTTACCCATGGGCAATTAGCCCTGGTATGCAATACTTTGAACAAGTATTCCAATCTGAATAAATAAATGTTTAGTGTAAATACAAATATAAAACTGTCGATGCTCTTTATTGTATGTCATGTCTCATTGGAATAATTTTAATGAAAGCTAATTTTAATATAGATTATTTTTTTTTACTAAGCATTTTCATGTTTGGGGTATGGAAGTTGGATTCTTATCGATTGTATAAAATTTAGAAAATCTAGACATGAAGCATATAAAACTTAACAATATAAACTAATAAAATTTGCTTTTAAATGGGGAGAAAGCATTTATATCCCACCCTTCTGCAAAGTAAGAATAAACAAAATTCTTTCATTCATCTGCAATATAAATGAATACAAAAGTTTAGATCAAAACTCAATGAAACATTTATTAAAACATTTATTACTGAGATTAAAACAATAAAAATATACTTATACCAAAAAATTACAAATATCTTTACTTTATAACAAATATCAAAATCAGAATGCTTACATTACTCAAAAATATTATTATTGCACTAATTACACTTCAGTATTTAAATATCTTGGCATAATATTTTACCTGATATGTTTCAAGACTAGAATTCATTTTGATAAGAAAGACTCAAGTTTAAAAATAAGTGCAAACTTAAAAGCCTGTTGAAAATATTTTTATAAATAACAGGTTAAGGGGAAGGAAAAAATGAGTAAGTTTATTCAAATTAATACATAATGTATAAACAAATATTTTGATAAGATTATATAAAAATAACAAGATTTTATAGTTATATAATTTTAAACATAAAAGTACTACTCTATTTATCTTTAAACAAATCCACTTCACATATTTTTTGGAAATATGATTTAAAAAATTGTAAATAGCTTATCACAAAATAAAAATATTTAACAATATCATGCCCTATATACACATATATTATGCTGATTATTATATTTGACATTAATTGTTGCATCAAAATGTTGATGTAAGAAAGAAATATTCAAGGAGAAAAAACATTTTCTTAAAAATCAAAATTTTAAAAACTCCATTCAGATATCTTGTACCTCTTTTATAATACAACATACTTAACATTTAATTTCTGTATTACACTAAATTTTCTCTTCATGCTGCCATCTACATTAAAGAATTAACACCCCCCCCCCCCGAAAAAAAAACTGAATTTCTCAATGTATTTCTACTTTGGTCACTAAAATCAAATATATGATGACATTTCTATTATTTATAACAAGTAGTTTTAGTTTCAGCTTTATATTTTATCATAGGTTCTGTATGTATCATGTATGCTTATATGGTGCTCCTTAAAATCCTGATTGATTCATTCTCAATAAATTCATTTTTCCCCCTTATTTATAAAAATGATCATATATTTATTTGCAGAAATATACTTAGACATATTTATATTAATTAGAAAAATACATGGAACTTTGGCAAAATGAGTTAATGGCTATTATTTTTTTTTTATAAATATGAAATTTATAAATTCTAACAGAAATGATTCAAAATTTCTTATACTGCTTTGAATGAATATATAAAATATCTTCCACACAGGTATCATATGAGATTTTTTACTTTAAATTACACATTAACATATTTTGAAATCCATGGATGATATAATGCATAAATTAAGAGAAACAGTAAATACAGACTTTTAATTATTTCTGATAAATAAATGAGCACTTACTTAAATGCTTTTAAAATAATGCATAAGTTATGTACAATTTATATGACTGTTCCAATTTTGAAATATTTTATAGTTCTATCTATGTAGAATTAATTTTTTTTTCCTATAAAAGTAAAATTTTTCTGAAAATTTATGACTGTTTCAGCTTTAAAATATTTTATCTGTATACATAAAAGTTCCAACTACATACAATTAATAATCACCCCCCATAAGAGTGAACTATATTTGCCAGCTAGAGAGGGGAATTAAAATTTTTCATATTTTCATACTACAGCAGTTTTCTTTAAATAAAAAATAGAGAAACTTATTTCAAAAACACATTTCACACTTTATAATTGTTTTAGGTATCTCAAAGTAACATACACCTATGGTACCAAAATTCAGTCATTTTTAAATGAAGCAGAGTAGATGCCATATAAACTAGTATAAATAATTATTTCAATTACAAATTTCCATCGATATAATTTCAGACAAATTAATTATTACATTGGGAATTATAATTAAATTTACAACTGTGTTCACTTGCAAATACTTCAACATATTCTCAGGAATGATCTTTCTTGGAAAGGTAAGAACAGTTTTATAGTTTTCATTATTTGTGCATAAATATAAACATGAATTAGTTATTACAGAAATTTGAGCTGGAATTTTAACAACTGGCTTGTTCTTGAAATTAGCTTGAGTAAGAAAAAAATGTTTTTTGGCACAGGGCTTAAATCTAGGCACATATTTTAAATTCAAATACATTTCTTTACTATTGCATTTGACCCTTTTTCTTTTAGTAAATTTAGAGATCCTGGCAACTCGGTAGAAGTGTCGAATTTCATTGGCGTTCACTGTATTTAAAAAGCTTTCTCCTTTCCACAGGTCTGTATTTAATGTGACTATATGTTCACTTTCAGCTAATAAAGTTTTCTTAAAAATATCAGGATCTAATTCTGATTTTTGAGTTGAATATCTTTCCAAAACGCTTCCTTCACAATCATCTTCAAGAGATTCACAGGAGTAAAAGGTATCAGAAGATTTTATGGAGTCACAAGATTTATATGAACTTAAAGTACTAGTATTGTCTTCCAAAATATCTTTCGCTTGAAAAATAGGACTACTTTTTACAACTTTATTATTAGTCACACTTCCCTTTAACAGTGGTAATTCAGTTTTAAGTTGACGTTGTTTATTGCACTCTCTATGGTATTTTAATTTATTATAGTTTTGACATTTATTTGATTTAGAAACTTTTTTCAATTTAACTTCAAGCACTGCATGGAAAACTCTTAAAAATATACATGCAGTTAATTCCACATTATATACACCTATCTTTTTCTTATGTAACCTTGTGGATAATACCTGAAAATGTTCATATATTTCATCATTAAAAAAAGATGAAGAATTTGAACTAATATATAAACTGAAGCAATCGTAAAGAACTTTATGATTCAGCATGTATGAAATAGGTGAAACATGCACAAGTTCGTAAGAGTACACATCGTTTACATTTTTGTTAATTGATGGAATGAAATAATTTACAGTAAAATCATCTACAGATGCACATTTTTCACTAAGTGTTATCTCTGCAGGACTTAAAGGATATACTAATGTTGCAATATGTAATGAATTATCATATTCAAAATAAGGTACAAACATCAACAGTTTTTGTCCTTTTTCCAAACTTTTTAAAGAATTGCTGGGATAGGTAGCTTCTGACCTGAAAAATACTTTAAATTTCATGCTTTTGTATTCAGCTGTTGCTATTCCACTACCAGTTGTTATCAATAAGACTGAACCAAACATAAAAGTATGATTCTGGATCGTTAGGTTTAATATGAATTTTTGCTTATATTTATGCATATTGGCTTCTTTTTCATAAGAGTCCCTTAGTACTAATGATTCAGCTTTATCACAATTCATTTTCTCAAGTATCTCAGAAAGCTGAGGGCTAATATCACAGCCTAGAGAATACTCATGATGTATATTAGATGACACTTTTACTTCTACCGAGCTTAAGTCAGAATTTAGTTTTTCATTATCATTTGTATGAAAAGAAGTTTTTATTTTGCTACTAGTTTCAGCATCATAGGATAAATGAAACACTTGCTTTTCATCAAGTGTTTCTATTTGAGCAGTTTCCCTATTTTTAACCTTCATATTTAACCCACTTTCAGAGGAATTTGATATGATGTTTTCAGCTCCTGATGTAATTGGTGGACAATGTTCATTTAAGGAGTCTCCATTGCAAAAAGAATTTGTTTCCACTTTGTGATCATAAACATCAACACAAGATAAATGAGAAGTCTGGCCTAGATCAAATGATCTTACTTGTTTGTTTTCAGTTTTGGCATTATGCTTCTGAAATGCAGACAGTTTTTCAGTTCTGTTGTCAACTACAAGTTTATCCATTGCAAAATGTTCATTTATTGGTTCTGCGTTGCAAAACAAATTTATTCCTGATTTAAGACTAGTATCATCACAGGACAAATTATATATTTGTTCTGAATGACATGATTTTATTTTTATGTTTTCTTTGCCTTCAGTTTTGCTACTGTTTATATAAATTTCCGATGCTTCATCAGTCTTTGTAGATATTACACTGGGTAACATATACTGATCATTTAACAGTTCTTTGATAAAAGATAACAAATTTGCTTCTAGTTTGTCATCATGCACAGGTTTTCTCAGATAATACTTTTCAATAGCTGGTTGTGATTTGTATAACTCAGCATACATATTTTCAGTTATCATTACAGAGTCACTATTAAGTTCAGCAAAAGTACACTTCATGGCTTGTTTAATAATTTTAACTCTTGTGGCTATCCAATATATATTAACATCATCTCCTTTACCATAAAACTTAGCATCAAATTCCACAACATCACGACAACCAACACAATCCTCTAAATTATCAATCTCGCAAATATATTTCAATGCTGCTTTATTAAAATAAATAGTAAATGTATATTGATGATATGGGATAATACTATATATAAATCCCGCACTTTGTTTTAAATGAACAATTTCTCCAATCCAATTTTGTAAAAAATAACCATATATTTCATGAATAATTAATCCTAAAGGTACTAATTTTTTTAATCGTCTAGATAGTAAATGTAAATGTTCATCACTCTGAAGATTAACTGTGTGCTTCTTTTTAAATTTTTCCTTGATATGCACAAAGCCACTTTTAATTCTAAAAAGTTTGCAATGATTAAGAATGCAAAATACCATAAGCAAATTACGAACACCACAGCCAGGTAAAAATGCACTATGCAATCTCACTTCATCAAAAGTAAATGTATAAATATTCTGTAGTAAACTTTGAAAATAATTAACCACTGTACTATATGTACTATTATCAAAACCTAATAATCCATCAAACTTAACAAGCATAACTGTAGAATTTGGAAGGATATCAAAAAAAGGAAATTTCTTTAAGATAGTGAATAAAAGTTCTTCTTCTATGGAAATAGCACTATTCAAGTTTAAGTTCATGCATATATCATTAATATTACAAATCCCTCTTAGGACTAAATCAACAATTTTGCTGATAATTAGATCTTCACTTATGATGGTCTTTAAACTTTGATAATTATCTGATATTTGCAGCACATTTTCAGATGAAGAAAATATACTTGTAGTTACACATAACATATTTCCCAATTTTTCCACGAAATCATTTCCAGGAAATGTTTCTATAAATGAAGAAACCTCACTTTTGAAAAATTTCACATGTTTTTCAAGATTTCTTAAACTTATGCCATTTTTGTTTTGGGCATGGAGTATAACAAAGTACACATATTCAATCAATGCATTATACAAATACTGAGCAGAATAAATGTCTTCATTCATTCTGATTCTCAGGTTTTCAGGAAGCTTCTCAATATATTCATAGATGATAGCTCCTGAAATTAAAAGCAATTATAATAAAATTATTACAGAATTTAAATAAAAACGAATACATCTAACAATAGCCACCCAATCATTTTTTTGGGGGAGGGGTGACAAACCATTATATTATGACATACCATACGATTTCTACACTAAGAGCTGTAAAATGCCTTATAAAAGGTGCTAGGTGCTCTAATAAATAACTGTCTACGGCACAAACAATAGATATTTCCTATACTGATAATTATTAAAATTTGTTGCTGTTACTCCCAGATAGACGATCTCCATATATCCAAAAATATTTTCACAAAAAAAGCTAGGCAATCTCCATATATCCAAAAATATAACAAACAAACAATAGAAGATCTTGAAGGATCTCATCTTTGTTAAAATCCAAGCAAGCTAAAATATGGGCCCGGGGTGACCATGTCAGCCTTACATCAATGCCATTCAGGGAAGATCTATCCCTACTGAAATGTGAGTGCTCTAATATGTCCACTCATGAGGTGCAAGAAGGCCGTCTGATATTTTCTAGGCGATAGCTGAAAGGACCCACCTCGGCTTCTTTCAAAATACCACAGGTGATTAGGAGGGATCCTTCCAAGTTGGTTTAATTTCATCTTCCTAAGAAAGGAGATTTTACTATATGTGAGATTCCCACAAGGGTCCTCGCCCTCCACGGCAGCAGTCCTGACCAGGTAGTCAGCCCTTTTCGTTTCTGTTGATCCCAGCATGATATGGGATCCACTGAAAATGGATGGAGTGTCCAGAAGAAAGTCAGATAAGATTTAATATATCCAGGCTTGCCTTGTCTCTTATCACTGTCCAATTAGATAGGTGCTGGATTAAAGCATGACTAACAGTTACAATCGAGACATCATGTAATTGTTTCTCAATATGGTACGTGGTGTATTGCAAGCCCCTCCCAACAGCAATAAGCTCCGATCTAAAAACCAAACAAAAGTCAGGATTTCTTATCTTAAATTTCATAGAACCAGTAGAAGTTGGTATAAACACTCCACTGCCAGAAATTTCCTCTACTGCCATCAGTGTATATCTTCAAAGACAATTGTGGAATCTCAATGATAGTCTCCACGGCTAATTGCTTGATGAGAGCCGGATTCTCAATAGTTTTCTTTACACTAATCAAAAGAGTCTCATGAAAATGAATCCCACCAAGTTTCGAACCAACTCCCAGATGATACAGAGAATGAGATTCCACATGAGTAGCGATTAAAATTAAAAAAATTTGATTGCATCAAAATTTCTAAATGCATTTATCAGTTAAAAATTTTTTAAATAAAATTGAAAATCAATTCATTTCAATCTGAAATAACAGTCTATTTGAATGCTATCAAAGAATAAAAGAATAAAATATAAAAGAATAAAATATAAAAATTTTCAATCTTGAGTTTTTAAATCAAACTTATCAGCACATTTTCTCCTAACAACATAAATTTCACTGTCACTAGAAAATTACCTTGCCAGAAATCAAATATTTAGTTTGCAATGTAACTGATCAAAATGCTTTTACTGATTACAATTATTTTAATAAATACCGTGTTTATTCACATATTTTTCTCCCTAGTTTTTTCAGCACAATTTAATAACTTCCAATTTACAGTAACAATGTAAAATTATTCACATATGGGAAATTATTTTGTGTAAGTAGAATGAATATTACTGAAATTGGTAAGTGCTTTGAAATACATAACACAATAATATTAGCATGCCTTTATGTATGCTTTTTAATGTGCTATATTTATCATTTAAGATACGTCATTAGAAATAGTATACACCCCTCTATTTTCCCCCTCCTGGTTTTCAAGCAGTAAAATTAGTACAAAAAGGGGGAAATACAGGCAAATTAAATGTGGTACGAGTTTTATAAATACTAATAATTAATCAAAATGCAATACTGATGATGACGATTTATTAAAAGCAGATATTTTGAGTTATTTTGCTTTTTTTGTGAAAATATTTTAAATATATTATTCATGTATGCACAAAATATAAATAAATAAAGTATTAAAAACTAAGGACAGAAGTTTAGTTTGAAGCGCATTTTTATGCCATTTTCTAAATTGCAATAAATCTGACAAGACAGATAGCAATAAAAAATTCTAAATTTTAATTACATATCAGAATGAGTATGTCTTGCTAGCTAGAAATTTCAAAATGTCACTCAAAGTGGTTATAAAATTCCTCCCCCATAGGATATATTTTAAAAGTAACATCTTTAAATTTACTAAATATATAAACTTGTATATATTTTTGGAAGCACTTCCGCAGAGAACCCGGTAAATGTAAACATCGGCAACTTTTGCGATAATATAATAGTTCAAACCTGGTAACCTAGCACATTCATCCAGTTCGTTTATTCGAGGGTTGCAAACATTCCTCTTACTTCATTTTGTTGAATTATCACTGTTGTTGTTCACATTTGGAGATTTATATTATTCTTCTCTTATTTATTATTATTTTGGTAAAAGTTTACAATTCGGTGCCCCTTGTTTATTGGCGATTCTTTCTTAACGCCAAGATCGGCACCAGGAAGTCACAATTTCAAGATGGCCGCTACACGAAACCAAAATAAGAAGTCAAAGAATATCATAAGATCTGTGTCCATGTACACATCGATCTGTTTTTACTTAAAAAAAAGAACCTAGAATTGCACAAACTACGCATTGCGCACTGCCTTAAATATGTCCATGTACACATCAATCTATTTCCATTTAAATAAAATCGGGAAGCTAAAACAAATTTAAAACTATCGTGGTAACCAGAAGTGAGGTTTCATCACCAAAATTTTTAAAAAAATGCCGCCAATCAAAGGGGCACCCAATTCTACACTAAAGCTATTATTTTTTCTGAATTTTTACAATGAATAGATAGAAATATTTTCGTGTAATTAAAGAAGTTTTCGTCAATAGATGCCGGTTTTCGACTCGTCAGTTCGGGATCAAAGGAAGAAAATATGGCGGGAAGGGTGAATGCTAATTTGTAACATGGCTGTTCACGTTGTGTTCTTAATTATTAACAGCTGTAAGCACGCAGAACCATGAGGTTTCACCCCCCAAAATAATTTGTTTTTGTAGGCCCCAAAAATGTGCATGTGCATTTTAAATAATTATGTAATGCTTTTATTTTTATTATTGGTTACTGTCATCTAAAATTATGAGAATAAATCAATTTTTATGGCATAAAATTTAAAAAAGATTTGCTAATGCTTTTCTAAAAATAACCTTTCAGAGGATGGCAGGTGTGACATAAATAGCTGATTAAATTGAAATAAAAAGTGGTTGATCTTTACAATATGGTAACTGGTAGTTTGGCGACATTTTGGAGGCGATAAAGGTTACTACCTGGGACTTTGGTAATAATGTGAGCAGTACTCAGTTCTGATTACGCATTATTTTGTGTGAGGGAAATGAAATGAGAGATCATGGGATATGTCACGTGATATAATGGACTAATTACGGTTCTTTAATCGGAAAAAGGGGGGAAAAGGGGGGGAAATCGGGAAAAAATCTGGAAGTTTTGTATTGGCTTTATTCTGTGGTTTGTGTGAAACAGTGTTCGTGAATTTTTGGATCCCATGGCCGTAACTAAAGTGAATTCGAAATGGGTATTTATGTATGTATTAATTTAATGTATGTGCTCATTTATATTTTAAGTAGGTTTTTGAATTTAATTATATTTATATTTATAAATGATAGTTATTTTGTGAATTTTATGTTTGTAGGAATTTGGTATACGTTTTAGTTGAAGTAAACGTGCATGGAAATAATTTAAATATCTGACACTAAGTATTTGTAATGGTGGCGGTGCGTATGAATTCGTTGGTGATGTGTATAATGTAATAGATGATTTAGAGGTAAAAGTTTTTGGATATTTTATTTATTTTATATGTGGAAATGTTCATATTTGGAAAGGGTAAATACTTTTTCGCGATCAGGTAATTTCATATATGTTCTTTTTACCGGGTTTAAAGATTGAGAAAATTGTCATGTATTTTCGTGAAATTTTTCTAATTTATGAGAAAAAAGCAGTGTACATGGATATAGTGAAGAGTGTGCGCAATGCCATTTTTGTGCAATTCTGGGATGTTTTTTTAAGTAAAAATAAGTCGACGTGTACATGGTTTAGTGATATTTTAATTAAATGATAGTTATTTTGTGAATTTTATGTTTGTAGGAATTTGGTTACACGTTTAAGTTGAAATAAAAACGTGCATGGAAATAATTTAAATATTTTGATACTAAGTATTTGTAATGCTTGCGGTATGAATTCGTTGGTGACGTGTATAATGTAATAGATGATTTAGAGGTAAAAGTTTTGGATATTTTATTTATTTTTATATGTGGAAATGTTCATATTTGGAAAGGGTAAATACTTTTTCGCGATCAGGTAATTTCATATATGTTCTTTTTACCGGGTTTAAAAGATTGAGAAAATTGTCATGTATTTTCGTGAAATTTTTCTAATTTATGAGAAAAAAGCAGTGTACATGGATATAGTGAAGAGTGTGCGCAATGCCATTTTTGTGCAATTCTGGGATGTTTTTTTAAGTAAAAATAAGTCGGCGTGTACATGGTTTAGTTTATGTGTAGTGTTATTTTGAAAAAGCGGTAAGGAGTATGGTATTGTGCACTTTTTCCCAATTTTGCAGTGAATATTTGTCATGATTAAGCAGTTTTGTTAGATAAAATTTCTAGCATAAGTGTAATTCGGCTAGTAGATTGTTGGAAGAAGTGTTCAGTAGATAAAAAGAAAAGAAACATGTCTTTACTTCATGAAGACAAAATGGCGGCGGGAAAAAAAAATAGAGGGTTGCTGTAGGAGAGTTGGTCGCCAAATTTTCGCCAAAAAAACGCCAAGTTACCATAATGTAAAGATCAACCTAAAAGGTATTATTATCTAAGATGACAGAATAGTTTGATGCATCCCCATGGTCATTAAAATTAGCAAACCACTGCTGGTGTAAGGAATACAGTTCAAATGATTCTTGAAAAATAATAAAATGTACAAAGTTCTAGTTTTATTAACAATGCTACTGAAGAAAATTTGATTACTGTTGAAGCTTATTTGTATTATGAAATACATTATGAAAAAGACAGGTATTTGTTTCAAAGTAAAATGCTTTAAGCTGCTTAGGACAAAGAACGTAGACTCTTTGTTGAGTTACAGTAGTAAAGAACGTAAACTACATCAAATGAATGTAATTGCAGATTTGTATACATCAAATTAATGTGAACACATGTTATTTATAAAATTTCATGAACTTATTTTGGTTAAAATTTACTCTATGGTATTTCCCTGGTGAATCGTTTCTTTTTTTCACTCCAAGATCGGCACCAATTACCAATTTCAAGATGGTGCCGATCCTTCCACGCACTGCACAAAACTGCAACAAGAAGTCAAAGAGTCACACAAACTCAATGTCTATGTACACATCAACCTATTTTAACTTTAAAAAAAAAAGGGGGGGAGAAGTGCAGAATCACCCGCTGCTTGGCGCGTTTTTAAGAACTGCACATACTCGGTATTATCCATGTACACATTGACCCATTTTCACTTAAAAAAATTCCAGAATTGCAAAAAAAAAAGGCATTGCACACTCCTTTGACTTTATTCCATGTACACATCAACCTATTATCACTTAAAAAATAAAAAATAAAAAATTTGACAAAAAAACAATTCTTACTCTTGTAAAAAGCGCCAAACAAATAAGTGGGCTATTCTGCACATTACTCTCCCCCCCCAAAAAAAACCTGCACAAACTAGGCATTGCACACTGCCTTCATTTTGTCCATGTACACATCAATCTATTTTCACTTCAACGTAATCAATCACAAAGTTAAAACTATAATGTTAACCAAAAAAAAAAAAAAAAAAAATTCACCGCTGTCTTAACACACAAACAAATAACCAACAATACACAAACATAGTAATAAATAACCAAAAATACACAAACATAGTAATAAATAACCAAAAATACATATTTCTTAACAGAAAAACATTAAACAACAAATCTTTTTAACAAAATTTAACACACAGAGACAAATAAATAAATCAAACGTGAATTTTTGAACATACCTTTTTTTCACATGCATACATTTACATTTCCCACCATCATCTCCTCCATCCTCCACGCAAGCAATTCAATTAAATTTTTCGTCGTTTCGGTTCATCCACTGTTAATCAACATTCATCCTTTTACCCACCTCAGACATACTCAAATGATGGTACCCACAGCAAGAAAATAGCAATTTCAAAATCCAAGACCATACCATCTATGTGCAACCAAACACAGTAATTGAAAAGAATGGTAAGAACCAAAAGCCCACATCTATATGAAAGGGTTACTATTACAGAAAATAGCCAAAATCTAAATTTATCACAACATGTTTGGCAATATTCACAGAAATAAACCCTTTTTAATGACAAAAACTTACAGAAAAACCCATTCTATGCAGCAGGGTTTTTCATGAACAGCCACTACCACTTGGCAATTTTTCAAACAGAAACCAAGGGGTACCATACAGTAAATAAAGATCAACCTTCATTTTCAATAAGGCACCTTAAAATTCCGAGTTGTTAAGCAAGCTACCTATCTACTTATACCATTTTTGTTATTTTATGCTTTATTAATTACTGTAAATGTGTATATGCATAATGTATAAATGTAGAACCTATTAAACATTAAAATTTCAGTTGAATATAAATATTAATATTTAAATTATTTGAAGAAATACCTTAATAAAATTATGAATAGATTAATGAAACTAAATTGGGAAAAAATATATCTTGAAAGGGTTTATATTTTCAGGACTGCCCAAAAGGGTTCTTTTATGGAACAGTGAAAAATTTTAAAGGATACTACATGAATATGCTTGCAGACTGACATGGGAATGTTATATATATCTTCTGCATATTTAAAAAGTGAAAAATATATAATGTAATTTTATAAAAAATTTTAATGTTTTTAAGAAAAATGTCATGCATTAAATGCACTTGTATTTAAATCAATCAGATTAAAAAATAAAAAATAATATTAAGAAATGCATCTATTGCTTTTAATAGTTTAGTTTGTTAATTAATATATTAAATATGAAAGAATAATATAAATAATCTTATTTCAAGACTAACAGCCATCTGGGGCTAATACCGTCTTTACTCACGTAATAGCTGCGGTGTTTTGCGAATTTTTTATTGTGAAAGTCCAGGTGCGATTATTATGCAAGGTACACAATATTGTACACTTTTGATGATTTTTTATGCTTCAAAACGGGGGTGGGACTATCATGCGAGTAAACACGGTAATAAATAAATAAAACTGAAAAACATAACAAATGTAAGTGTGGCATTCATTTCTACAAACAATTTTTAAAAATTGTGGCCATTATTCTGTTATTTCCACCTGATATTTCAGATAATTTTTAATATTATTTTTAAAGCTAAAACTTCTGTGAGCATGATATTGTAAGCTACCAGTACCAGATAGTGACTGATGGTCTGACAACTACTACATTATACAGATGATGTGAAGAATTAAACAAATGTTTGAAATAAACATCGCACTTTTAAAATTATCTGACATGTCATTTAATGCGAAGAGCAGATAAATTTTATATGCCCGATTAAGTTCACTATAATTTCTGCCAAAATCCTCACAATCAACAAAGAAATCATTGCCAACAAATTGACTCGAATCACCGATATTTCAAACAAGGCACTGCCAACAAACTGACTCCAATCACCTATCCAACCAAAAGACATGAAGAAACTCTCAGTCAAACCTCTCATATCAAGAGCCCCGATGATGGAATCCTTGTAGGTGTACTGGGATTTTATTTGAAGCTTTCAATTTTAAACAATTATGAATTGTCCCAGTTTTCTCATCTTTACTACATTAAGGTATATGTAATTTGAAAATTTGTAAGAGCCATTTTAATTATATTTAAATGATAAAACTAATGAAATAATATATAATGTAAATGCACTTTAGCACAAAGTTTAGAAATATGGACCATAACTGCTTTATAGCATTAGAAACTAATTTCCTGGGTGGTGAATTTAAGTAAATATGGAAGTACTAACATTTCCAATAAAATATATGGTATGTGTTCATATTTGATGTATATATGTACGCAGGTATGTATGACAGAGTGTACACACACATATAAGCACATAGATAGATATACACACTTTCTGAATCCGGTCCTGACAACAGAAAAGTATAACAGATATTTTAGCGTTTTTGACAATCTATACACTGCATATTATCTTCAAAAGTGAAAGTTGCATTGTATTATCACATATACATACTTCACTGATATTAAACAAAAACAGTATCTTGCATTCCCCATTTTCCTCAATTCCCCACGTCTGTAAGATGTAATGAAATTTCAATATTTGAAAACTGGAATAAAGTAAACACTCTTTGATATTCAGGAATACTAGGAATAGTAGTAGCTTAATATGTATAGCTATAATAAGATCAAGCATTAAAAGATAAATACAGCTATATCAGAAATTGCTTATCTCCCTATATTCTGCGTATCTATTCTAGAAAATATTATCCACTTACAAAAATCTGACTAAAATATGAAAATGTTCATCATAGTTTAGCTGATGTATTGAATATAACATACATACCGATGAAACAGCCTTTATAATTCTTTATATTTAATTCCAGAAAATCTAGAAACAAGTAACTTTTAACACCCACATTTCTCAGCTTTCAAATTGCGAACCGAAACCATAACTATCTAATCACACATGTTTCACATTACTGTTGCCTAACGCAAGCTAGATATTTTTAAGAAATTCTTAAGCTTGGCATAAGGCTTATATATTGCTGATATGAATTTCATAATTCATTGCACTGTCTTATTTCGAACTGTTATTAGAATCTGCCAATATTTTTTAATATAGATGTGTATGCTATACTCTAGGGAAAAAAACCGCTATTATTAGGAAGGGAGTGCCCACAGCGAGCAGCCAAGATCAGAAAAATACTATTTACATGATATTTTACACATATCGTATTTTATTCTCGTGTGTCAAGATCCTTGCGAGCAACTCAACAGTTTCTTATCCATGCTTTGGCAACACTGTATTTTTTAGTTTTAAGTTTCTGTTTAGAATATTATTATAAACAAGGCGGGAATGTGCTATGTTTTCGTACTAACGTAGAGTGCCTGTTTTATTTTGACTACCTAGTTGGACTACATGCTTTATTTTGATTATTAATTTCTTTTTGACGTCTTTTTATTGAAGAACCGATTGAATGAATGAAGTTCAAGTAGTTTCGCAGCATAGTAACCCATGATTTTAAAGGTACGCTTTTTGAATTATATAATATTCTGAAAATGGAATTGCTTGTTAAAAAAGTTCGATAAAATCCTAGTATACGGTATGGCCTTGGCGCGATTTTGGAAATTCTCGCGAACACCAAAATAATGCGTTTAGTGCTAATCATAAACAACGGCATGTAAACATTACATTGCACTGATACAGAATGTTAACTCTATCGCCTCCTGAATGTCGCCAAATCCTGTGTGTACCGCATACTAAGATTAAGCCAAAAGTTCTCCTGTAAGAGCTAATTTTGGGAATGCTTTAATGGTTTGTAGGACTTATTAAAAGGACATAATGTTAAGAAAGGAAGCATTAGATATAATTTTGTTAATTTACGTAGAATTTATTCTCAGGCGACTGAAATGGATCATAATATAAGCTCATAATGGTTAAAATTCCATAATCAGGGCGAGCGCTAAGCTTGGCGAGAGTTTTTTATTTGCCGCGATTTTAATTTGGTTGTGGTTTCCGGCTGTATGTTTTCTTGTGGTAAACCTAGAGCTTTATTTCGGTAACTGTAAGAGCGCGAATTTAGTGTAGCCAGATTCTTTTTAAAATTTAATTTTGAAATACTGTGTTTGTTTTTAAAAGTTTTAATGTTTAATATTATTGTTATATATATATTTAATATTATATTTATATAAATATTTGCAGAAAGTTAAGCTGTTATTGGTGGGAGAATGTTGGATTTCATATGACATGAAGTTTATAATTTACGAATGTTTTTAGTTAATTTTATTTAGTTATTTTTTTTTAGTTTTGTTTCTTGCATGTGGCAATCGAAACATGTGGAATATTTAAAGCTTTGAACGAACGTTGTTTAGTGTAGCAAATGGTGAAATGTGTATATATTGTACATAGTACTATTATCTTTATTTTATCTTCATTGTGTCATTTTACCAGTGTCTTTGAAACTTTATAGACTTATGGACATGATCCGTGTACCTGGATCTTCAAAGCTCTGATTATTTATTGCTAGTGTAAAATGTTTTTCACCATTTGCTACTTCGCTCAAATATCGCCGTCCCTATATGTACATAGTGTATAGTTTCAATAACTCATGTGCCTCAGTGTTGTACAAGAACTTTAGTGTTTAATTTCTCAGACCAAGACTTCACTGAATTGTGATATCTACTATTTCAAGATGCATTAGCTGTGGACAGTTCACGGGAGGGTGACCCCCACGTGACTACCACTGTCCAATCTGTGTTTTAGCAAGACCAACTTATACTCAAGGCCTGCCAGTGTGAAAATATTCTTTTGTGTTTTCGGTTGCCTGCGTGATATTCTTACTGACCGCAAGATGGCGCTACAATTCTGCTACACTTTGCAATGTTTACAAAAATCGGAAAAGTACCAAAAACGAATTCTGTCTTGTTATATGCAAAGTTTAAAAAATATTAATCTATAGTAGTCAGAAATTGTTGATTTCTTATTAGTAAAAATAATTTAATTAGAAGGAAAACATGGAAATTTAAGCTATCTCACCCTATTTTTTTTCACACATAAAACACCAGCTATTTGATCTCGATTTTAATTCCTGCTTTCATCTAGACATGCGCTATTCTGAATTGTACGCATTACAACTATTTATTCTAATTTAAAGGTAATTCAGAGTATACACCTTATTTTTTAATTATTTATATAGTAGAAGTTAACAGGTAAGCTTCAGATCATGTACTATTTCAGTGAAAAATTTTCAAAATATTTATCGGCTGTACTGGGCCAAAAAATATTTAGTATCCCCTATGAAAGATGTAATTAACATATTTTGGAGTAAAAATATTAAAGAGAGAAAATATTAAAGAGATTAAAAAGTTAAAATATTAAAGAGATTAAAGTAAAAATATTACTTAAAGAGATTAAATTTTACATACTGAAGAATTTTTTTAATTATTAAATAACTGTTTTTAGGAAAGCTTAAACAATGCAGATTTTGATCTCTGTGCAGTATTTGCATTGCAGACATTCTAAAAGTATTAGGGAAAAAAAAAAAAAAAAAAAAGTCTTACTGTGGCATAGATTTTGAATGAAACTCAAACCCAAGGTTGCTTTTTTGACTAATTTTAATATTACACAGGTATGTTTTTCTTCACTTTCATTTGTGTTCTAAATTTCATTGATGTTAACATTAAGAAACTAGTAATTGAATTAAGTGCATTGCAGCAATTTACATTTTCAGTGTTTTAGAGAAACTTCAATTTTTCAAATGAAAATAATGAAATTTTTGATAAAGCTATTGATCAAATCAATCTGTTTGTTATAAATAAAAGAGACACAGACATCATAAAATATATTTTAACAGCACACAAAAAAATAATAACTCTCATAATCACAATATATGATTAAGAAAACGTTCAGTTCTGTATATCAAGGATAAAATTTGAAAACTTGCAATGGCTGAATATAAATAATATATCCATCACACATGCCCACAATGCTAAGTAGAATGAGCTATATACACAATTTTAGATATATATGCATTTAAAGTTAGGCAAAAAAACAAGCTTATTAAATGCATCACTTAAATATACAGCAGGTAGACATTTTTACACCCATACAACATTTATCAGAATGACATGTGTACAAAATTTTATGGGCTGGCAGCGTGAGATACGATATATAGTTCATTATCAAGAATA